AACGAAAGACTGAAGGGAGGATTTGAGCAAGTGCAACGTCATCTTACAGTGTTTGGGCAACAGGCGTCTTCTAGACATAAATATTCTTTGAAGCATTTGTACATTGTGTTCGTGATGTAGATTTTTCAGATGCGTATTTGAAAAATTTGAAAGATCTTGAAATGTCACCAAAGATGCATGAGTAGTGACAGAACAATGTCTAGCTCAATGTGTTCCTCGGTTCGATCCATTTTAGCCAGCTAAATTAAGCATCTGAAAAATAGCATTATATTTCTAGTTAAAGTATTTAATTATCGCAACAACCAGTCATATATTTACTGCGATGTAAGTCTATATATTCTATTTCAAGTGTCCTGTTCAATGACAGAAACATTTTTCAGTCACTACAAACACATATCTATAATTTGAACTTTAATGTGAAACCTAAGTTTATTGTTAAACTAATTATGAGTGAATTTGGGATGTTAAATTAAGGTCTAAATCAGAAATAGGATGCATTGCTGTAGATTCTCTGTGGTCCCGGACGTAGCTATCACAGGTAAACAAACAATGAAACATAAAATGAGCTTGGCAAAATGTTTTGTTGTTACGTCAAGCTTCCAGGCTTCATGAATTGATGCCGTATTCTCACTGACAATAGCCAGACAAAAATATGACTGTGGATAAAAGTGGGAAGAGGAGTTTGTGAACAGCCACAATTTCCTATCAAAGCAGCTGTCAAAACAAGTGTCATTCATTACGATCCTTGCTGAGAGTTGACAAAACCTCAATTACTGGTCGCCCGCAACATGCTATAGTGACAATGGTCCAGATCTAATTTTAGCATTTTACAAAAGCAGTCATAAGTTCTTCAATAAAAGGTAAATGGGCTTTTCCCCCCACAGATGCTTTTTTATTTAAGTACTTAGGACGCTGCAGGTGAAACACGACAGAAATGCAACTCATTCAAAACTGAAGAAATTGGTCATCAGAAAATGGCATTTAATCTGCAACTTGATTCAAACTCCTGGGCTGTGCATTCTGATTGGATAACACAGCTGAGGACAAATCCTTTTCAATCAGGAAAAATGTCCAGCAGGACCAAACTCAGGCAGAGTGGATGTCTGCCTGGAGCAGCTGGGAGCCAGAGGACAGCAAAGGAACACAAAGGAATATATAAACAACACACCAGAGACATCTGCAAAGGGGAAAAGACAGGAAGCCTAGATCGAAATTTCAAAGTCTAAACTGATCAGTTTAATACTTGAATCCAATATGATTCTGGTCTGATATTCACTTGGGATGTTGTTTCTACTCGAACCCCACTTTAAAATGCTCAGCAGCTTTATCCCTCACACCTCTGTTGTGTTTCCTTGGCCTTCGTGATACTGTTTCCTCTCTAGTGTTTCTAACAAACCTTCATAAAATAGACATATTTGTTCCAGAATGAAACTACACACAAGTGGCCTCCACTAACTACAGAGGGTGAAAAAATAAAATCTGTAACAAAATTTACAGATTGTTATCTGGCAAATATTTCTGCACCAGCTTGAGCAAGTCTAACACGTAGTATCCCAATAAAAATCCTTGAAAGTTAAGGTTGCAATATGACAGAATGTATTTCCTATAACAACATTTTTCTGCCAAAATATAACCTGATAGAAAAGGACTTGGTTTGGAAATAAATGAGCTTATGAACGTCGAGACGCCAGTGCTCATCTCGATGTCCATCACTTCCTTCCTGCCTCCCTTTCTGCTCATTAGAAATCCCTCTGGTTTCCATACATGGCATGTAGGCGAGTCTTGCAAGGAAAACCTGTGGGATCTATTAATGGCTCGCCTTTCTTGTCTCTGACTCCCACCCACTATAAAAAAAAAAACAAAAAAAAAACACAACTCCACTGTTCTTCAGCGAGAAAAAAGTAAAGAGCAAGAAAGAGTTGACTTTCGTCTGTCAGTCTGAGAAGTCATTAGCCTCCTGTTCCCACTGACAAATGCCTTCAACAGTTTCAGCAAATGCCGAGACAGCTGTGGGCACTGGCTGTTAAAGCTGTTTTGTAATGTTATTAAGTTCATTGTTTCTTTGAATGTCGAAAAGATATGAAAGTTCCTACAGACTAAAACGCAACCACGCTCCTCCGGCCTTACAGGACAACCAGGTGATAAATTATCCTCTTCCTAAGCTATCATATATCTGCTCAAATATAGAGAAATGATTATGCAGAGTGCATCATTCGTTCACAAGGCGTGTATAATATATTTCTTAAATATGGAGATGTTATCCAAGACCACAGTAAATCCATGTTTTGTGTTGCATTGTCTGATATGAATAATGCAGGATTACGTGCCTTTCTGTTCAGTGATAAATAACTGAATCAATAAATTGCTGAAAGCAGTTTATCTTGCTGCCCGCAGGTATGCAGGATTCTGCATTATCAATGAGTAAAGAGTTTCGTGAAAGAAAAAGAAATCCCAGCTGTTACCTAAGATTAAGCCAGCAGAATTTTAGAACATTTCCAGAGGTGGTTGTCCAGTATTATGGATGATGCTTTAAATTGAAGTTTTCACAATGATGTAGGGGAAAGCACACAGCTCCAGTGTATTATTTATGCGTCTATCTGTAAAGCATCGCTAGTCTGCACTGTTAGTTCTGGTTAATTGAGAAGCAAAGTGTATGCGGAGAAAGTTTAAAATCGCCATTTGATGAGTTCTTACACATGACAGCGTCTTAATGGCCTCTGTAACATGTTTTCTTGTTTTCACTTTTTTTGTGCATGTGAGTCAGCCTTGAGAAAATCTGGCAAAATGTAGTGTGTGACAGATGATCCCATCTGCACTCCAGTAAGCGCCAAAAGCGGCACTGTCAGGTGTCTCATCAACACATTTCAGCAGGAACACAAAAGGGAGGGGGGACCGAACTGCAAAGACATCCTGTCCAGTTGATGCACATTACTCTCACACAAACACGCTGACATACAAGTTTTCTTTAAAAATATTAAACTTTTTGCATCAGTAAAATTGTAAAAAAAAATATATATATATATATATATATATAAGTATATTTGAATTAGAACTCTAAAAGGAGAAGGTAATCCTACTTAAACTACACCACTATGGGTTTCAAATGATGCTTAAATGGAGGAACTTCAAGGTCATTGGGGATTTTTTTTTTTACTTTTTTTCATGTTTGCTTGATAGATTTTTTTCATAAAACTTATTCATTCATATATTTACCCTGTTTTTATACTGTCATCTTCTACAGTATTTTACAGACAACTCGTCATTTTGCATTCTAACTTTTTATCTTTAATTTGGTTTCTTTGAGGTCTGATCTTGCAGCAACTAAATTGAGGCGATGAGAAACACATTCAAAAGTTGAGACACGTTAGAAAAAAAATTATGCTCCTTAATGTTAATGTAGAGTCACAAGTGAAACTAATGGATGTCTTGGGATGCTTTCCTGAAAACGTGGGTTGGATTTAAATATGCACAATCCTAATAGAGAGGTGTCCACAATTGACATTTGAGGTCACTTTGAGTCTGCGAAGGCAGGTATGAAATTGTCTCAGGATGACTATGGTTACATGATATCAGGAAAACATGTAACTGTGATATGAATATTGCAATGACAACATTGATCAAAATTAACCCACATTCTTCTTCATCACAGTCGCCACTACTTTCTGTGAGCTTGAGCATCTGGCTATTAAAAAAAGAAAAACTACAAATAAGACTATTATTAAAAATACACCAATTGTAAAGTGTCTTAAATTTGCACAAAACATTAAAACAAAAAATGTTCCCACTTGATCTAATAGCTTTGATTTGAGGACAGAAAAGCAAGTTATATTACTGCTGCTAAAGTACTTTAGTAAATATATCAAATTAACAGTATGTATATAATTTATTTACTGTAATATTGATTCATAGGATCATGGAAATTACAGGACTAATATCGGCTAAATTAGCAGCAGTTTTCAAACACTTTTTGTAGATAATTATTATTTTTTTTGTCATCTGCTGATAAACGTAGATGATGTCCCAGGTTGCCAAGTTAAGTTTTAAAACTGTACCTAAAAAATAATAAGAATGATATGTGTTGCCTTCTTTCAGCCAGCTGACTGGCGGTGTGCAGAGACAGACAGAGGAGGGCTTTGCTACTCCATGTCCATACGGCTGGGGATGACTCTGGCCACTCCTTCACATTCTCCAGAACATCAATAAACAGTTTAAACCACAGGAGTTGCATGTAGAAAACTTCAGTCGTTTTTAGGACTTTAATGTTTTAAAACCTCTGTGTACCTTGACACTTATCAGCAGCCTATGCCAAAATACGACAATCAGTACAGGAAGAAAACTAAATCAGAAAACCTAAAACTCTGAATTTTACAAACCTGCAATATATATATATATATATATATATATATATATATATATATATATATATATATATATATATAATACAAAAATAAAACCTGTTTTAGGTCAATCTGCCTGACATTTCAGTTTTTTTTTTCAGTCTTATTTTTTAAAAATGTTGTTTCAACTTCGTTCAGCTTTTCCTCCTGTTAAAACAGTTTCTATAATATTTATAAAAGATGTACTATATGGTCTCAGATCCCTTGACCAGAGTCTGGTACTTTTCTGTTCACTTTTTGTCAAATAAGGAAGACGAACTTAAGCGAAAAATAATGACAGATTAACCTTTTTAACTCCAAATTCATCACAACTGGTGTGATTTGTTAATTGTTTGATTGTTTCACATGTAAATCTGAAATGAGCTTTCTGCTCAAATCTGACATGTTATGCGTCTGACTTTTTGGGAGACAAGGTGATTACTCTTTGACTACACTTTACTTTCCGCGTTTGCAGAAATTCTGCAAAGTTCCGAAGTAAAACCACATATCAGTTGCACTCAGATAAACTAAAGTAAAGTCTTCTTGTGCATTGCCTACAGTAAAACACAGCACGTTAACGCTCACAGCAAATTAGATTTTAAATAAATAGGCTACCTGACTTACCCTCTGCTAGAAGCCGAACCGCATGAACAAAAGACGGGTCCAGGCTGTTTTTCTCGGCCATCAGTTCAGGTAAGCACTTATTCGGATGCATTGTGATCGCAGCGAGTCTCCCCACCGGGCAGTACAGGTGAGACCACCGAACTGAGCGTCGGAATGTAACTAAAAAACAAAAATCTTTCCTTCCCGCGTTCAGGTGGCTGCAGTCTGTCCGTCCGGAACCAACACAAATCCCGTCTGTGAAATGTAGCCGTTCCAGATCTGGCGCAAAAAAGCTGAGTGGAGGATGAGCAGTAATCAGAGGTGTGAGTCCATCTCCGCCGCCGCTGCCTCTCCTCTGTAAGAAAGCCGCCAGACTCTCGTCAGACTCAGGGGGTCTGCAGCCTGCGCTCCCCTCCCCCCCCGCCCCTCGGCAACATTATTGGCTACATTCAGTGTGGGACTGGTGCTGATGAAGACTCAGCCAGGTCCCCTCTGAGCGTAAACCATCTGTGCGCTGAAGATCGCACTTGCTCATGCAAGATATGCGACTGGTAAAATAATGTCTGTTTTTTTTTTTTTTTAAACAGAAAATAAATGCTTTATAAGGAGGCTGAAAAAGGTCCAGCTGATAAGGTGTCCTTTATCAATCAAAAGTTTAACTTTTGTTCTACTTGGTTGATTGGGCATTGAAGTAAGAACGCCTTTTTGTTTGGCATATGGTCCATTCACCTTTTTCAATTACAAACTCCTTACAAATTAAGTTGTAACTTGTGAGTTTCTGTTGTTTAACAATATTCACAATCAAATGTGCTCATTGAGAGTAAAAGACAACTTTTTGTAGTCGTTCATAATGCTGAACTCTGCTTGATCTATTCGAAATGTTTGATTTTATAAAGCAGGGCCATCCGAAAGGCAAAGCAGGCTACTGCTTGGGACCCCGGGGCAGCAGGAGGCCCCCAGGAGAGCTTCACTTCTCCAACCTAACATAGATTAAAAGGAAAACAACTTCTCATCTGTAGTCATGTTATTTTAAAACAGTGCTTTGAAGTTATTGTTTAAAGTTTCTAAACATAAAATTCAAAAGAATGTGAAATTATTTGTATTTATAGTCTGATGTTTTAGGTTACCTGCCATGATTTAAAGCTGTTGGGTATTCCTTTCTGCTAGTGTCTATGCTGGAGCCAGATTTAATGCACAGTGTGACTGCAAATGATGCTTAATAAATAACTGATGATCACAAGATAAACTCATGGAAAAAGTTGCAACTATTTTTAGAAAGTTAGTGACTTAGTTGAGGGTCAAGCAAAAATGTGCAACGGATTTCAAATGCCTCCTTATTCTTGTCATAATATTAAGTTGAATCCCAGCATGCTGCCTGTCCAACTCACTCACAAATGAGATTTTAGCAGATGAGCCTGGCAAAGGACCAATTCCATGCTCCACTTGACCTTTAGAGTCGTGTCTCTTCCCACCAATCAGAATCATAAAGACTGCGGGGGACCGGCAGACAAACTGTTTCACAAGTGGGTGTTAATTATTCTGTTGTTATTTATGTTTCCTCCTCTAATAGGATGAGTTGTTTACTGCGTAAATTAAACATCTCATGAATATAAACCTTGAGGGACTTACAATTGGCAAGAAATACCAATCTGGCAGACTTTGATGCGATCTCTGGTACATAATAATTGAAAGAAATAAAACTGAGACAAAATGCACTGTTCTGCAAATTGATGCAGATCAGCTGAATTTGTTGTCATTAATAATTATTTTCAACATTGTTTTTAAGGTCATAAAGAGTCCTGGGTTTTGTATCCACTGCGACTGTCCTGTTGTGGAAAGCCTGCAGATAAAATACAGGACAAACACAAAGGAAACAATGCACATTCACACCTCTCCTTTGAGTAAATTAATATTCCTTCCTACTAATTCACCTTTCTGTCATAGCCCAAACAGGTGATTGTTTTTTGACTTCATTACATGGGCTCTCCTGAATGAAGGTACAGAACATGGACACTCCTCACACAGAGTTCTTCACATAATTTAAACCAGACGCCTGTTGGATCACCCATTATCTGAGATCTTGTCATTTAGGTATCATATCCCCAGAAGGATATTCCAGATCCAGAAAGATCTGGTACCCAGGCCAGAAGGAACAAAAAGTCTCTCCCATGAGTTTTAGTTCTTATTGGCTCTTATTCAAGCTCTCATTGGTTTTCAATAAGAGGTTGGATGAGAGTTTTGACTCTCATTGGAGCCAAAACTCCAATAAGAGCCATATCCTACTGTTCCCTTCCCAATGTGTGCAGAAATCATGCAAAAGAGTTTACCCAAGAGGCACTCTGAATAGATGCCAGATCCATTTCACGTGACTCCATTTGATGCTGAGTCGGATCCATTCTACTCTATTTCTATTTCTACTAAGTGTGTTGGATGGGCTTCAGGTGATAGTGGTTGTATTGTCTGTGGGTGTGAACATCGGTTAGGTTTACACTTTCCAGTGCAAACACAGCATTGCCTGATAGGCTTTTCTGTGCTACAACTGCTGCGAGTTTAATATTTGATCTGAGCCAGAAGTGTTAATCCAGTACATTGTTGTTTCTTCTGGACACAAATAGAAACATTTCACCTTATATGTACAATAATCTTTAGGTGGAAATTTTACTTGGTTGCAGTCAGTGTAATGTGGTCATTGATACTGTTATTTTTGTAATCACCATAATTATTGGATTGATTTGTTTTAATGGTGTATATTAAGTTTGTTGTTTTTGATGGGAAATGGGAAGTCTGAGGTAGGACGCAGATATTTATTAATTTTGGGGTGATATTTGCCTCTTTTTTTTACCTGAACTCTTGAGTCTGATTCTATGATCCGGTGTTGGACAGTTGTAAACATGTTCTTGCCGCCCTCTGTTGGTCACAATGCAACACTACAAAATATACTGCAAACAAATTGCAACACTGGAAGAGGGGTTACACCATCTGCTGGTCAAAGTACAACACTACATCAGACTGCCATCAAGCCGAGAACATTTTTTTTTTTTTAAATATAATTTTCAGCAGTTTTTTTTTTTTTGGCTTCATAAAATCGAGTTTTCTAACTTTCACAGTTTGTTTTTATTGTTTTTATTCATTTTTGTTTTTTTAAATATCAAAGTTAAGGAAGTCAATGAATGATCTATTTTGCAGAACATCTTTTAATGGATTAATGTTTTCCTGGATTTAATGTGGTCTACGACAAAATTTCATTTTGTGTATTTAAGGAGCCTAATGAATATTTTTTTTAGAATATTTTTGTTCATACTAATATTTGCTTTAAAATTAAACTTGCCAGAATTTTTTGTTTGCACTTTGCAGTTTGAAATTTTATGAGATTAGGGAAAAGTAATCATAAAAAGGATCTAATTTATTAGACTGGAAAAAGCATTCACCAGCAAGGTGGGTTAAAAAATGCATTTAGTTTTTTTTTATTATTATTATTTTATTCTGTTTTTAAAAATAATTTTCTGTAACGTATCAAAGCTGCAATAAGTTCTATTATGGTTCACAAAGCACTACACTCAATTTTGTTTAATTCAGAATATCAAAATGCATGTTTATGTCATGATTTAGCTAATTATGCATTAGTTTTAATATGTTTACATATTTTTACTCTTACATATTTGACGGTGTTTGTATGTGCACAACACAATTTATTCTAAAAATAATCTCAAGTACTAAATAGAGACAAAAATAGTGAACTATATATTTGTTTTTTTGTTGTTTTTTGTTTTTCCTTCTTTTGTCATTATTTTTCAAATAGTTGAATATTGTTTAAATTTGTGATCATGACATAAATGGCAGTAACACAGACGTAATTGGGTATAGCATGCAGTCATGCTCGACATTAACATTTTCAGTACTTGACAGGTATTCTGATTTGAAATAGTTAATAAACACATATATTTTTGACAAATGATGTTTTTGAATTGGTGACAATGTTTATACTTAAAATAACCATATAATGATGTGTCGACCTATACGTTTTCTTAAAAAAAAAAAAAAGCAAGCCAACTAAAGAAGCCCAACTTAATTATTTTAGCACTGTATTTGGGCTGCTGCCCCTATTAGACTTTGTTTGGCTCTGGAAGTACAAATGTGGTATAAAAGTTAAATCCTTCAGGTTATCCTAATAGCTTAAGTGCTTAATAGCACTTAAGCTATTAAGCAAATAGCTTAAGTGCCTTGACTGTTTTTGACTTGAACTCAATTTTAATGTAATTATGATTATTCGCGGTGATATGTAGTCCAGTCGGAAGTCCTGTCATCAATTATGTAAGACGTGACGTCAGTGTCCTGAACGCGTGAGAAACTCATTCCTGCCGAGAATGGCATGCCCCGTCGCGGGAACGCGCATCGCTCTCAACTCTCTCATATTGATAACAAAAATGACTGAAATATGACCGACGAGGCAACTTTTAAAACTATTCCCCACATTGTCATGTTTCTTATTCATATAAGCCCTAAACTTGTGGGTCTTCTTTGGCAGATTATTTGCTTTTTCTATTAACACCATAATAGTTTAAGGTTTGTGTCAAAACTTTTTGACTAGCGATTAATCGCTGGTTGCAAATAGGAATCAGTCTAAGAATTACATTCACTGACGGTAAATTGCACAATTTGGTTATCAGTAGGTCTAACTAGTGAATAAGACATAATATGTAGAATGTGTACATTCTACATATTCTACATATTCTACATATGTAGAATGTACATATGTACATATGTACATATTGCAATATGTTGCAATATGTTGCAATATGTTATCCATGCAACATATTGCATGGATAACATGCAATATGTTGCATGTTATCCATATTGCAGAACCCTTTTAAAGCAGGTTCTATGTACATTTTGTTAGTAAATTTAACGGGGGAAAAAACAGCTAAAGAACAATGAGAAGATTTTCTTAAATGTAATAATTTGACCATTTGAATCATTTAATTTTCATGTTGCTTGTGACATCAAGTGGTAAAACCAACATTGTGTAGAGAACCCACCAGCTGACACAGATTCTTCCTGTGTTGTGCATGTGTGCTTTTATAGCTAAAAGTAGTATATGTTCATCAGAAAACATCCACACTGTTGACTTTTAGCTATAAAAGCACACATACACACAATCTGCCGTTCTAAACTGTCAGCTCGGGGGGCGTTCAGAGGACGACAGGCGGCGCTGGCGGAAATTTTTACAAAAGGGGGGCGCTGGGTTTCC